TCTGTATGCGACAAGTTCCTGTTTCTTTCCATAACCTTCCAGTTTTGCCATTAGTGAGGCTTATGTAGTAGGTGGAAGAGGGAGGTAATTAAAATAAATATCTGGTGAATCATCTGAAAGTTTTCTTAATTTGTGGGAAGGTTGTTCCTAACAGTTACAAAAATACACTGTCTTATATGTATGTATATCTTCCAGTTCATCCTGCAAATAACAAGTGATACTGATTTATCAAGACAAATATTAACACTTGGTCTTAAAAGTTAACTTAAATGTATGGAACCATTCACATAACTCATTTGGAGTGCCTTGTTATAGCTTCTGGATACAGAAGTCTTAATTTGTTGCTATTTCACGCTTGGGTTTCCTTTACAACACTGAATTTAAGTTGGGGGGGGTGTGTTGTTGCTTTTTGTTGTTGGTTTTTTTGTTTATTTTTTTGTTTTGAGTTTTTTTTTGTGTTTTGGGGTTGGGTTTTTTTTTTTTTTGTTTATTTTTTTGTTTTGAGGTTTTTTTTGTGTTTTGGGGTTGGGTTTTTTTTTTGAAAGAATAATATTATGTAGATGAACATTTCAGGGATGCTGTGTGGAATAGGTATCCTAGTGAATGTGTCAGTGGTCAATGTGTATGATTTGTTTATCATCATTTGAGAGAATACTGCATTTGATGACCTAAGAAGCCTTTTCAGTATTAGGTTCTTGTGTGACTGCAGGCCCAAGCAGGACTTTCATGCTGTTACAGGATCCAGGAAATCCTGAGCTCAGATGACTGAGGCCAAGGAGCAGCTTTGGCTCCTCCCAGGTTGTTCCAGGAGACGGCAACGGATGTAGCGAGTGTGAATATATACTTGTCCTTGCAGGGCACCCCTTTATTCTGGCCCTTACAGGGAGCAGGCACATACTGGTGCCTTGGGAGTCTCCTTTCTAAAGGCCTTTCCTTAATACGTTTTTAAATGTTGGTATTGCCTGAAGGACAAATCTGAACTGGGTTGTGTGGTGGTAAACTCAGTGCGCAGTTGTGTACAGTTCCTGCCCCAAGCTACTTCCAGGCTATGTTAGAAGGGAATAGTGTTGAGTGAAGAAAAGGGATGTAACTTAATTTGTGTGATGGTCCATTAATTTTGTGTTCAGTGTTTTGCTTGAAGTTTTGATATGTGTGTTCTCACTTAAGATTTAGCTAATGATTCAGCTAGATGAGAAGAAAGAACATGCGTGAACGCAAATAAGAATGAGATAGTGGAGAGCATGTGAAAGGAGGTAGAGGAGGAGACTGAGGAACAAGCAGGCAGGAGATTAGTGGATCAGCTAAAGTTTTTTTGGGAGGGAAGAGCAGGGGGAAAAAAGGAAGATCATCTGCATTGCTGCTCTCTATGAAACACTTCACAAAATCAGTTCATAAAGCAGCCTGAATTTTTTATTCCAGCCTAGGTTGTCTGATGAGAATTCAGGCAAGAAAGGCCAAGAAGGCAGATGTTTCTCCCTTCCTGGGACTGTAGAAAGTGAGGGATGCGTTTTATAAATAATTATTTTGACACAACTGTAAACTGAAGAAGCTACTGCCTCTGCAATACCTCTTCATTGCAAGCGTTTGGGTTGCCAGTGAACCTGATAAGGAAATTTCTAAAAGTTAAAAATAACTCAGGAAAAGTAGTTATTTTTAACCTTGGTTGTTCTTCAGTACTGCTGATGGCACAGCCACACAGACAGTTGTACTGGCATAACTTAGAAGGGGCGGCTTCTTACCCAGTCACCTCTGCTGGAGGATATCACTTCTGCTGGAGGATATGCTTGTGAGGCAATGAAGGAGTGATTCTTTGTGTAGTGGGAAGGGTTTTTTTCATCACTGCAGAATTGGAAAGAAAGGTAATGCTAGAACAAGGCCTTGGGGAGGCTGGATTGTCCTTTACTTTCTGCTCTGTAGCTGAAGGTGGTGTTCTGGGGACCGAGGCCCTTCAGGCCTTTACGTGTCCTGTCCAGGAAATGTGAATAAAGTAATATGAGTGATTCCTGGTTTGGGTCTTCTGCTGGTCTATGGTGTTATGTGGGTATTCCTGCAGTGAGGACTGCTATTGATGAAATTTGTTATGTCCGATCTGTAACTAACAGAAATGTTGTGTGGGACAGCGTCATGTGCACAAGGTGAAGGGATTAAAGTTTTTAATGTATTTGTTGGTGTTTACTTGGAGGTTTTTAAACCTTGTAATGTGTGTAGATGTGGCTAATAGCTTAACGGCATGCTCCCCCCCCCGTTGTTGTTTTAAGCAAGAAAGGTTGGTTGAACTGAGTGTCATAGTGATCAAATAGTCTATTTCATGAGGCAGCATTTGGTGATGTTACATGGCTTAATGTGGTTTTGGCCCTGGAACTCATTGCCCTTTTGTTTCATTGGAACAACTGATTCATGCAGTCATGGTGTGAACTGGATAGAGGAGCTGGTATAGTTTTGAAGGAGAACGTGTTCTGCAAGATTTTTCAACTACACCAGCTGGCCTGAGTGAGAGGTTGCATGTTGCTGGGCTGGAAATAAGCTTCTTGGGAGTGGAGGGGGAATTCCTGAAGCTGGTGTTGGTGTTGAAACAGCATCTTGTGAAACCGCAACTTTGAGTGTTCTGCATGAAATGAAAAAGGCAAAGTTTTAGTGTGCATCTTATGATACTTTTAGTAAGTGCTTATGAGGCAGATGAAGGTTGAATTGGCTGGTACCATCTAGTTTTCAGAGTTTTGTTGAGTTTGGTGTTCTGCAAGGATATGATACGTTATTTGGTATCCTTAACTCTATGCTAAAGCTATGGCTTTTTTTTTTTAGTGACTTTCCCAGTCTTTTAACATAAATATTTTCATGTTGATTGCAGATGAATATGTGCACAAAGAACAAGTTGTGTGTTTTTCTCTTCCTCCTAGTTTAAACACTTATTGGAATGCTAACAGATATGACATGGAGCGCTTGGAGTGACATTATTGGTAATGCAGATGTAGTCATTATAAAATGTCTTTCATGTTCTGTAACATCAAAAGGAAATGGTAGATACATATAAAAGTAATAACTTCTTTGCTGTGGATTTTTTTCAAGTTCCTGATACCACATTGATCACTGTCTGTATCACAGCCACTTAGTACTACCTACATGTTACTTCCTTTTCTTGCCTCTGCATAATCTTTTTCTTGTCTTTCTGCCCACTCAGTTCTTGGTGCTCTCAAAATGAGAGGCATTGTCATTGTACTATGGGACTGAGAAGTTAAGGAGGATTCAGAGAGTAGTGTGGATTTAGAGGCAGCCTTTCTGAAAGGGAAAGCATTAAAAAAGGGAAGTGTCAGTAAAGAATTGGATATAGCTGCTTCCTCTGCAGCAGAGCTCTTTTATGAGCAGCTCACTTTAAGGTTTGTTTGCACATGGAGGAATAGTTATTCTGCATTATGTTCGGATTCCGCTTCATTTTAAATAACCTTCATGTATAAAGAGCATTTTTTTTAGTGTCTGCCCAGACCACACGAACAAGTTACCATGAGAGAGCCTTACAGCAGGTAGCTATGTTCTACTGTCTTCTACTTTACAGCCTACAACAGGTTAGGTGTATGCTACTAGGCTACTAGTTTGCAAAGTAAGGGTGTGAGTTGTGGCAGCCTAAGCTCCTGCATTTTAAGGCTATAGCGTCAGCTCTTCTCACTTCTGTGACTGTGTTACTGAGTTAATTCAGGAAGCTGAACCAGTTTACTGCTCATGCAAGCACCGTTCCTGCTGCATGGGAGGTGGTAGAAGTTCAGGGGGAGAAAACAGTAGTCCCCCTTCAGACTGCCTGAAACTTTCAGGGATCACTACCCTAACATGCATTTAGTGTAGGGTAGTTGCTCATGCAACAGTAGTTACTGAGAAGTAAGTTGCTGAGATGTTAATTACAAGGTGAAAGTATTTCCTGCTAAATTGTTAGTGGAATTTAGACTGTAGCTGGTAGGCTGCTTTAAAACAGAACAGGTTTTGCAGTGAAGTGAAATGTTTCCAAGAGTGAGAATGCCCGGAGGGTTTGAATAGGGCTGTTCACCTGACTGAACTCCTCATTTTAGGACATCTTTATCTTGTTGCATGTTTCATAGTTGAATTGCTTGCTACTTTTTGATGTACTGAGAATGCCCCTTCTTTTCCACCTGTGTCCTTAGCAATGTGTGTTTTTCTATGGGTGTTTGGGGTTTTTTTTCCTTTTCACCTTGCATGTTCAATATCCCATCCAGATCTAGATCCAATTTACTAGAGGTGTGATGGAGAAAGGACAGCAAGTCCCCGTGATTCTGGCTGGTAAATGGGAAAGAACAGTAAGGGGATTGAAAGCTTTTTATTACCAAACCTGTTCTTTTTCTTTCCCTCAACTTCCTATCAACAGGGCCTTCTTTTCATCTTATTGCTTCACCTGCTGCTTTCATGGTGATCGTCCCCTCCCTGCCCTGCACATTGCTGCACCTCTGCTCTTCTCTGCCCCTGATCAGTGCTCCTACTCATTATTCTCACTCATTGGTCAAACCTCTATGCCTTTAGGCAATCTTTTTTTTTATTTTTAATTCTTCCACCTTATGTTTAGACAATTCTTTTGGAAATGCCTGACGCTAGGCAGGCTCAAGCCCATTGTTCGCCAAACATGGATTACATTAATCCTGTCATTCAGCTTTCCTCAAATGACCAGGTCCTGGTATTTTGTCAAAATAATACATCAGGTAGTAAAATAATGACTTGCTTAGCAGTTGTTCTTGAATTTCTGCAAAGAATATTTGTGTTGCCTTTTAGAAATTAGTTGGCTTTTTTCCTCCATTATTTGAAGAAATTGTAAAGGGTGGCGATTTTAAGTAATATATGTGGTGGTTGTTTTTTTGGGTTTTTGTTTGTTTGTTTGTTTTTTAAATCGATAAATGAGAGGGGGTAAAAAGCTGTTTTACAGACCTTCCTAACTACAGAAAGTATTTTCTGATGTCCTCAATTAATACCCAGCCTTGTGTTTTTCCTCTTTTTTCAGTGATGACGCTATGAGGAAGGCTGGTGTTGCCCATAATAAATCCAGCAAAGATATGGAGAGTCATGTGTTTATGAAGGCCAAAACAAGGGTAAAGCATCTCTATTTGTTTCCAGAAGTTACTGGGGTGTCAAAAGAAGTTTGGAACAACCCATAGAAATAGTAAACCGAATGCACTTAGTTAACTGTCTCTGCTTACAGTACATAGTTATGCAAAATTTTTGATTTATATGTGCTGCTTTTACCCTGAGGGGAAGTGAGGTGTTTTACATCCAATATATGCATCAAACTAGACCTCAGTCCAAGACAGCTTTGCTGATGCTGCAGCATTTAATGCATAGATGGGACCACACTTAATTCTTGTCTGAAGACTTGTGTGTAGTGAATTGCATAGAATTTCCTTTATCTACAGTGTAGCACCATTCCGTATGACTAGTTTGGTGGTCAGGAGAGACTAAGATACCAATGAAAAGGCTGTGTCAAGAGTAAGACCAAGGGAAGTCCTGTGGTCTCTGTGAAAGTCTGGTTATCTTGTACAATTCTAGACTCTACCAAAATGTAGACTTCTTTCCTGGAGCTGCATTATGAGAAATTGGATAGTGTTGCTGTCTCCAAACAAGCCATGTTTGAGATAGAACTTGTCTTGGTGAAAACTTTATAATGCTGACGGCACAAATTTATGCCTGCTGATGGCATCCTCACTGGTGAGTTGGTAGTTTCATGAGCAGGAAGGCTATCTCAGCCCTGTGCAGTTTCTCTTACACATTATGAAGCTCACTAATAAAACGCTGCAAAGAATATTTGTCTTTTCACTTCTGACACTTCTACCATATGTTAGTCTTTAAAGTTGTTAACTTACTTCTATTTGTAATACTAACTTAGCTTAAAAAAAGTTCTTGTAGTATGAATATGACATAGTTCAAGGACTAAAGTAAGTCAGTGTACCAAGTAAGCAGATTCAATCCTCAAGAAAAAGGAATTGGAGTGGATAAGAAGTGAAAAAAGGATGTATTGGTTTATAATTATGTTCACATACTGTGATCCTGTTAGTGTGACTGTCACAGAGGTTCTTTCCAGTGAATTTTGTGGTTTCTTGGCCTTCTTGTACTGTCAGCCACAATGACCTATTAGTAAAAATATTCTCACTTAGTTAATGAACAAACTGTTCCTTGCAAGTGAACTGCTTTGAAAAGCCCATAGACATTGTAAAGTAAAATCTGTTATGTTGAGGAAGAATACTGAAGAACCAGAAAGTCATGGCTGCAATGTTTTTATTGCCTATGCTAAAATCCTCATTTTTCACCTTTAGGAAGAATATCTTTCTCTTGTGGCCAGACTTATTATCCATTTTCGAGATATTCGTAAGTAATTGGTTTTGTTGTTTGTTTTTTTTTCTCAGTAATGAGATTGCTCATCCCATCCTCCCAAACAGAGTAAATTTTAGGGTTTGTATGTGTGGTTCTGCATGTGACTCTTCACAAGTTGCTTTAAAAATTTTCCTGTAATATACATGCTTAATTTCTAAATACTGTTTCTTTTATGCATCCATCTATAATTGAAAAGTCTTTGAGAAATTATTTAAACTTACTACTTTTTCTACCTTCCTAATTTTTTCCTGTATTTTTGCTTTTTTCCATTGTTTATGTAGCATTCTGGTTACTAAATTGGCTTAGGTTAATGTATTTTGTTAGAGCTACAGTAGACTGATTTTTTTTTATTTTTTACTTAATCATGT